ATCCCTACAGTCATATTATTATATCTTAGTTACATGAAATGCCCACTAAAAACAGATATTCATACATGTACACAGCCAACAAATGTCTTTAATTCAAAAGTGTCCACAGAATCTAAAAAGTATATGAGTAGTATTACCCAGTTGTAAAAATTTAAATATATGTTTCTGTTCCTAACTGCTCTGTGGAAATAGAGATAGAAAGTTCTTCTATTCCCACATCATAAAGGCACTACAAAATGACTCAGGACCTTCAGAAGCTTGGACCTGGCTGCAGCCAGTACAGCCAGCACAGTCTTCACATCAGGGCTTTTCAGTTGATCTAAAAGGTAATTAAATTTAGAGAGCCTTTTTTTCCAGTGCTCCAGCTCTGCTCGGGGCCCAACGTCATCTGCTTCCTTCCGCAGCTGACTGTTCTCAGCAAGGATCTATAGCCACAAAAGAAAAATGAACAAATGCATGAAGCTTTGATGTATGAAAGGCGTGCATGAGCAAAAAAAAGAAATGAAATCATACTATCTGAATCTTATATTTATTGAGTCATGTGTTTCCAGTGATGGCCTCTTACTAACCCAAATGTTTCCACTTTTAAAAATTCAACAAAAAATTGAGTTGACTATTCTAACAGGAAGCTGCTTGTGTGATGAGTCTGAATGAGCTCTGAGGAGCCATAAACACTGCAGTTCCCTTGCCTGTTCTTTTACTACATAACCTGGAACAACACTTCTGAAAACTCCATGCCTTAAAGCAGGATAATTTTATTAGTACATACTGGTTTGCTAGAATATTCATCTTCTTTTAGGACTTCTCAAAAATAATTTTTTGAAGCCATGTCTCACTATGCTGCTCTGGCTAGCCTGGAACTTACAAACCAGGCTAGTCTCGAACTTACAGGGAGCCTCCTGCCTCTGCTTCCAGGGTGCTAAAATTAAAAACATGCACTCTCCAGCCTTCCAAAACTATTGTTAATGGTTAAGTCTCAAGCTCTCATTTGAAGGACACAATGAATTAGAGAACATTTCATACTTCTATGGTTTTTCTTGAAAAGAACTGCCATGTAAGTACACAAAGTGATCAGCTTCTCTTCCTTGAGAGTCTTGCTCCTCTTTCCTAATGACCATAATAGAAGCCACATTGAACTCACAGCCTTAAGGCTGTGTGGTGTGATACATGGGCCATGGGAATGCCATGATGGCTCTTGCTCCTTTGGCTAGTTTTGTAATGGCATGTGAAAGTGAACACAGGCTTCTGAAAATTACCTGTTCTGTTTGTTTAATCCATATTTTCATACAACCCTCTACTTTTTCCACAGTCTCAGGGTTACCAGCTAGAGCCAAGTAGTCCATAGGCTCCTTCACAGATTTCAGTTCAGGTATGTCACAGTTATGAAGGTTTACCTAGTGAAAACAACGATTAAAATAGTAAGATAATGCTTTATCAATGCACACATATACTTTTGGGTCATACATAAGTCTGGACAGATCTCAAGGGAGTCCTGTCCCCACTACCCTACTCATTCAGAAGTATCATTGAAAGCACAGCAGCCAGTAATCATAATAGCAGCGCCTACTCTATATCTTGAACTCTACAAAAAATTTTGAGGTCAAACTGAGGAAACTGTGAGAGAGATCATAAATCACAAAATACAGGCATTAATAAGAAAATTGGAAATTATTCACCAGCCTATAACACCACAGAGACTAAGTCAACCTGAAGGAAATAAACCTGGGAGGTGGAAGTAGATAGTTCTCACTCTAGCACTGAGTTCCCCTTCAGAACTAATAAAACAAAAAGACTCCCAAGCCCTTACCCTTGGCAAGCTCAATGACAAATGTTTGGGTGCGGTTTAGAGGCAGGGACCCTCAAAGAAGCTTAATATATTTTCAAGCATACATGATATCCCAGACCACAACATGGTCCTCTCGGTTTCTAAGAACACTTTCCTTTTGACAGACAAAGGTGTTCCTTGGGACTTGTGTGGATTTCTGAACGCAATGCTCAGGCACGATTCAACTTTATCCACAATAAAGCTGCGTTTTTCTATCTATCTCAGCAGTTCAAAGCCAGCAGGAAAGGCTGTGGCCTTCTGTTGCTCTCAAAACCCATCGTGGAATCATTTTCTTAAATGGAGCACCAAAGAATGCCCAAGAAAGACGAGGAACCACCTACATACATGGGGAGGTAGCTCCTCTACCACAGTCTGCCACAGGGAACACAGCCGCATTGGAATTCCTCCTGAAGTCAGCTCACTGCCTTCCCTCGTCTTCGTAATAAGCTCTGCCCTGACCTCTGACAGTCTCTGGTTCTATCCTCCAAGCCCACTTCCACCCAATTGGATGGTTGTACAAACCTTCACGTCATAGCCAGGCTCTGCCTCTGTCCAGTTCAACAAGTGAGACTCAAAAGTTAAGATTCCATCACCCATGGCTAGAACTGGCCTCACCACTCTACTACCCTCTGACAGAGTTCTCACAAGCCACTTAGACATCACATGCACCCAAGCCACTCTCATGTGCCTTTTGTTAACACTGCCCCAGCCTGGACCAGCCTTCCCGAACTCCTTCATAATCTCACATACCTTCAGGATCTGACCTGGAACTCAGAGGACCCTCACCCTCCTATGTGGGGCTCTACCCTGTTGATCACAGCAAGAAGCCACATGCAAACACCACTTTGGGGGAGGGCATCCATCAATTTCACATCAACTTTATTTGGTTCAATCTGTCCTTTGTTCTGGCCTGCAGTCTAGTTAATTGCAAATGCAACTCAGATGTTAGCTGGAGGGAACTCTTGTCCCTATCTGGATAAAATTTGCTCAATGCCTGAATTCTACATCATTTGGTAAGCACAGTGTCTGCTCCCAGTACTGAAACAGGACCAATGCTCCCTGGAGAGGTAGAGAAAAAGCTGCAATGCTATGGTTACCATAGCAGCCACTTCCCCTCCCTTGTGTGTTGGATCTGGATTCTGTCATCCCATAGCTGCTTGTTCATCTCGTCTCCTCTCTCTGAACCACTACCACCCCTCCTCCAGATACACATGAGTGTGCGACCACTAACCTCTGTCCCAAATCACCAAAGCCCTCTCAGTTCCTAGCTGAGACTCCCTCCACATGTCAGTTCCTCTTTCCTTCTTCTGTCACTTCAGGATTTTCCTCCCACCCTATCCTGCTCTCCCCACTTATCATACATAGACACACACCACACACACAGTCTGGTTCCGAACTCCTTTCATTCTAAGATGCACATCAATGTCACAAGCATGCTAGTCTCCATTTGACACAACTGAGTAAAACCCTATATCACTACAAAAATTTTTATGGACTCAAAAGCATTAAGCACTACACACTGAAAATATTTTAATTGATTCAAATCACACGAGGGGGCACTAAAATTGCCTACAAATACTTTCAAGAATTTTCAAAGTAGACAAACAAAGACCATGTAAGAAAAGTGTCATCTGTTACACGTTGGTTGATTGACCCTATGGCCATTTCTAAGGGAAACCTTGCTTTTTCTTACCTTCTCCTTCAAACTCTCCTGAGCACCTGACAAGACACCCACAAAACTTTCCAGAGAGCTCAGGAACTCCCGCCGAATGCTGGCAGCATCCTGCAGTCCTTCCAGCTCACTCCAGCCATGGGTGGAGGCCCTGAGGGCTGGAAGGAAGACGTCTGAGAGCAGGCGCCGCACGCTGTTTAGCAAGCCCCCATCCGCAGTGTCTAACACATTGAAGCTCACCTCCTGGAAAACAATTCAGTCATTCTACATTGGAAAACTTATCCTTTTTCAAATATATTTATTATTGAATTTTTGTGTCTTTCATATACAACATCTTAGTCCTCTTTATACCCCCTTCCCCATCGGCATCCTCCCATAAACCACTTACACTGGATTTCATGCATTCTGTCATTTATGTTAAGGCCTATCGAGTCAAGTTAGTATCCCCTGATGTTTCCCTGTGCAAGTTCATCTTAAAAATGTATCCTTAATTGCAACATAGCTATGGATCATTTCTAAATGCTAATTAACCAAACATCCTGTGAATTCACCCAGTTAATTATTTTCTTGATACCCTGGTTGAGAAAGAAGTTTTCTACTCATCTAAATTACAATCATCAAAATACAACAATGAAATAAACTGAATTCTAGATGTTTACCAGTTCAATTGCTCCAAGAAGCTAATGAGGTAATGAACCTTTTAACAGACAGGAGGAACTTGGCTTTGAATACAACAGGAAAGTTGTGTATACACTTTTAGAAATTTTCTTTTAAATGTATGACACTTGCTATTAAGTATATTATGTATAGGAAATTCTTTCTGAAAGGAGAGATTTCACTGTACACAGACAGAATGCTGTCTCGATTTTTATTAATAAACTGAATATTCCATTTTATCAAAAGATTTAAAGTCCTCTGCAAGAGTCAGTGCTCTTAACCATTGAGCATCGCTCCAGCCCCAGGAAATGTTCTCTTGTTTGTCTTGAAGACTAAAAAACACTTCTTTGAAAGTAAGTGAAGGTAGCTTACTACCTTTTTACTTATTTGTTTGTTTACGTGTGTGCACATGCTGGGGAACAAACTGAGGGCTTTGCATACACTAAGCAAACACTCTACCATTAAACTAAATCCCCAGCCCCTGAAACTAGCTTAGACACTGTAATAAAGCATGTGGTTATCTCCACAAGAAGGGATAGAGGTGTGAGATGTATGTGGGTATAGGGAATTCTGAATAAATGATGGTCGCTTACCCGGTGGATGTTCTCAGCTGTAATGGCTTTAGATGGGTCAGACCTGATGAAGAACACACATATTCCCACAAGAGCAACATCTTTTCCTTCTGTCACAAACACCTTGGGTTTTTTCATCTTTCCAGAAACAGGATTTACCCCTCCTGAAGAGCCAAGTTGTCCTACAAATGCAAAACGACTTTAGTTTCACAAATGCTGTTTGTGGTGCGTGGAGTTGCCTCTTGGAATAAAGTTTCATGGTTAAAACATCACTACTGCTGACCTAGCCATGTGCTTGGACAGATTCATCACTTGGATTATCTCTATTCTAATCCTTAAAGAGATCTAGAAGGATCTGCTTGATTCCAGCTCACAGGGGAAAGGAGTCAGACTGAAGGCAGGGGAAAAGAAAGCACTGACTGACAAACACCAGTTCCAAGACATTCTGAGTACCCAGTCTACACTACTAAAACTTACAACCCTGAGGCACCTGTGAGCTATCCCAGGTTATAGTAAACAGGTGGCAAAGGCAGGGTCAAAAATCAGCTCTGACTACACAATTTAGGACTTTCTGTTCCCCATGCTGCCCTGACATCATCATAGTCAGGGAAGCTGGTTGCTTCTTCAGCGGACTGCTAGAGTCAGGACTAGGTAGAAGCAGGACAACAGAGCAATTAATGGGTGAGCTTTAGAGTCAGACCCAGGGCTTTAACCTCCAGCTGTGCTTTCTAACCCATGACCTTGAACAAGCTACCTGTCTTCCTGTGCCTCCATTTCTTGGTTTTAGAAAAAAAATTGGGAAATCGTACTAGAATCTAGCATGTGGACTTCTGTGAGAATTAGAGGGGTCAATACAGGTAAACCACTTAAAAAAGCACATGTGAATGCTAGCCCAGCAAGACATCAGAAGGACCTGAAAATGCATCCGTGATTGCCCAAGGATGTTGTTCTCAGAGTGGATGGCTTAAAGTGCAGACATACTCTGTGCTAGCCAACTGGGTTCCTATCTGGTCAAGTAACTTTTACATCTCAAAATGAATTAGAGGCTCAGTTGACTCCTGCCCAGGTGGGAGGATGTGCCCAGGGAAGAATTTAGAGAAGGGGATGTAAAGGAAGTTGAAGCTTAAGCCCTAAAAATGGATCCTTTTGTCCCTTGGGGTGCTTCCTCCTGGGGTGCTGGGCTTCCTACTAGGACTTTGGGAGAGGATTTCCCGAAAGGAAACCAGGTGCATACTCTCAAGTGATGTTCCACTTCTTGGTTTTACAAGTACTAAGATGGTAGACGAGAAGTTTTAACCAAAGCAACAAGATAGATGGATGCCAGAAAACAAAGGGAGTCTCGAGGGGGGAAACAAACCCCGCAGTAGTCTCCAACATTACCCCTGCAACTGAGCACACAAATCTAGAAAGAGTCTAAATTGACGAATCGTGGGCAGCGTAGTGGGAGAGGCATTTGTGCTGAGCAAGGGACTGTGAAATACTTCTACAGATGCTGAACTCCCAGGACTAAAACCAGGACTGTCTCAGGCAAGGGAAGGCAGCTGTCACCCTCAACCCAGAAACAGGGTCTTCAGTCCTAGCATCTAGAGTTTTATCTCCCTGGAGTTTTGGGAATGAAATGGACTGGAATGTGATGCCTGCTCAATAAATCCAAACACAGTGGGGGAGGGGAGGTGTTGAGTTGGTAGCTAGCAACTGCCCACAGTTGAAACAGTGTGAGATTTGAGGGGTACCAGGAGGGGTACCACTATGGAGAGAACCAGTCTGAAGCCATGTTCCATTTACTCAAGAGGATGCTGGAAGGGTGCCAGAATGAAGGACCTCCAGGTGACATGCCCTGAGGATGCACTGAAGCAAAGGATCACAGTCATCATGAGGACCACACATTACTGTGGGACACGGCAGCCAGTGCTCCACAGGGAACCCATGTCCACAAGAACTCAGAGAATACAACAGTGGCAGTCCAAGTAAAACTTCCCTGGCATCTCACTTCCTGTCTCTACCTGGCCTCAGACCAGACACAGTCAGACATTGTGGTTACTCTGAGGTGGAGTAAATTAAAGAAGAAAGCAGAATGTGAGCTCCTCTCCTGACCGCCAGGTGCCCCATGGGGGTTAGAGGAGGCAGGGGCAAGGACAACTAGCTTTAGTCAACTGGACACTTTTTCCTTTTAAGTGATTTTGTGTTTACAATTTGAAGAGATCATAGGAATTCTTCCTAAGAATGCCTAGAATGCGCAGGGGCCCAAATCCAAGGTCAGAACTAGCGGGCTGAAAAGGTTAGAGAAGCCTGAGAGGGAAAACCAAACGTCTTACATGTTGAGAAGCTATGAGTCCTCACTCTGTAAATTTACACAGAATGGGCAACTTCACCCTGTGCAGGGCTTACAGATGAACACGCTTCCTTGGAGCTCATATTCTGCAATCTGAGGCGGAAATCAAAACTTCTATTTTTATTTTTCACCAAAAATGTAACATACTTTTTATGTACCAAATATTAAATTGATAGCTGAAGAAATACCAGTCACTCAAAATTTTCATGTCATTCTTTGTGTGTATATGATGTTTGTGTGTATCTAAATATGCGTGCATGCATGTGGGCACACACCAAATGAGGCCAAAGGTTATCACTGAGTGCCTTTCTTAATTAATTGCTCTTATGTTTTTAAGACAGGGTCTCTCGCTGATCCTGGGGCTCACCAACTGCCTAAGTTAGCTGGCCAGTGAACTCCAGAGATCCCCCTGCCTCTGCCTCCCCAGTGCTGGGATTAGTCATGCACTACACCAAGCTGTTCTTTTATATGGGCTCTGGGGATCTGAACTCAGGTCCTGAGGCTTGTGTTGCAAGCACTTTACTAGCTGAGGCATCTGCCCATCCTCCAAGCCCCCCTTCCTTTAATTGTTAAAAAAAAGCATGTTCATCCTATACAAGATCAATAACTAGTTTCCACTTTTTTCAAATGACATATATAATATTTTAATATAACAATAATATATATAGTTGTGCCCCTGTTTGGCCTGAAAATTACACTTATCTGTTTAAAAGCATAATAGGATTTGCCTAGCGAATTCACACGAAGACTTGCAAGGTTTCCTTGAGTGAAAATGCCTAATCCATCACCCAGCACTATAAATTCAAATCAAAGCCAGCATAAAATAAATGTGATGTAATGCTTAACTGAACAAGTTGGTGTTCTGCTTATCAGCAATAATTTCCCATGTTAAAAAGATCAGGGGCTGGGTATGGTAGGCACATGCCTTTAATCTCAGCACTCGAGGGGCAGAGGCAGGCGGATCTCTGTGAGTTCAAGGCCATCCTGGTCTACATAGTGAGTTCCAGGTCAACTGGGGCTACAGGGAGACCATGTTTCCCAAAAAAAAAAAAAAAAAGTAAAAATGAAGAACAGATGTCTGCGAGAACATAATTACTCATAATAATTAACATATAAGAAAAGTAACTCCCAAAACAAAATGAACTTTATAATTCTCAACTGCCAGCACAGCAGTACAAAAGGAAGACAGAACAACAGAGTTAAAACTAGGCAGACTACCCACCAATCTCCATTCTCTCCCCTGAGGGTGAAAACAGGCATTCTTCTACAGGGGCACACCTACCATACACAAAGTACACACATAAACAACAAAAAGACAGCACGCACATATACATACACATACATAAGTACATATGCACACATAGACACGCATACACACACACACACACACACACACACACACACACACACACACACACACACCAAGGCATAAGGAGCTTGGTTAGCTCTCCAGTACCTTTCCTCTTTGTGCTTCAGATAAATTTAATGACATTTCTAGGTTATGTCACATCAAATATCAATACCTGTTTCTGCTGTTTCCACATCCTGATAGTAAAACATCAGGTGACGGAGACCTCCAACAGCAAAAAGTTGATCGATTCTCTCAATCTGAAAAAAAGAAGAAGCAAGATAATGATTTGGTTCTAAATTAGAAATTTCATTTAAATCAATATTGATGACATAAAAAAGTAAAATTGCTATCATTCTTCTTATTCAAACAGTACTATATCTAATGCATCTCAAAAAAAAAACCAAAAGAACAAATGTCTTTCCATAGAAAGCATCCAATTCAAAGAAGTAATTTCACTGATCATAGAAATGTTTGCTACATTTGCACATTTAATAAAGAATTGTCCCTTCAGTTTTGCTAATTCCCTAAAGTGTTAAGCTGTTGAAGAAAGATGTAAATATAGATGAATGTTTTGTGTTCAGTCAACTGCAAATCAGAAAGAGAGAGCAAACCCTCAAAGGATAGTTAACACACTAGGGATAATTAATATTTAAATGCAATAATCATCTAAATCTGCTATGGGAATATATATAGCTACCAACCATTCTTACAGAAGCCATGTGGCACTTGGTCCCATCCAGGAGGGTCAGTGTACATCTAACAGTCTCACAAATGGCCTGTTACCAACAGAAGCACTTCTTACACATAGTTAATAGCACAGTTTGGAATTTATATGAGAAGAGCGAGGGCAGACTGAGGAGATGGCTCAGTCAATAAAACACTTGCCTCTCAAGTGTGAGGATCTGAGTTCAGGCTCCCAAAACCCATATAAAAAGCCCAGCACAGTGGCATATGCCTGATTCCAGCAATATATATATGGGAAATGGAGACAAGTGGGCAGTTACAAGCTTGCAGGCCACATGCACATCCCAGGCCAGTGAGAGACCTTCTCTCAAAAGGCAGAAGGCACCTGAGGACCAACACCTGAAATTGGCCTCCACATGCACACAGTGCATGTGTGCACATGCACACACACATGCAGCCACACACACACATAAGAACACAAACACAAACACACCCACACACAAAGTAAAAAGATAATTAGATGATAGATAGATGACAAATAGATAAATGAAATGGAATAGAAGAGAATAGGAGTGAAATCTCTACACTCATTAGGATGGCTACTATCAAATAAATAAATACAGAAAATAGCAAGCGTTGGCAGGATGTGGGAAAACTGAAACTCTCATGCACCATTCATGGGAATGTAAAGTGCAGCCACTGTGGAAAACAGCATGAAGTTGCCTGGAAAAGTTAATATAGAATTAAAACGTGATCCAGCAACTCCACTTCTAGTTGTATATCACAAAGGATTAAAGCAGGATCTCAAAGGGACATTTGCATAGCTGTATTTATAGCAGATTTACTAACAATTGCTTCCACAAAAGGTGGAACAGATCAGTGAATGGATAAACAAATTCTGATACATGTGAATAAGGAATGTCATTCAGCTTAAACAAGGAGAGAATTTCTGGCATGGCTACAACATGGATGAACCATTGTGATGGCTAATCTTGGTTGTCAACTTGACAGGATCTGTAATTGACTCAAGCACAAGCCTCTTGTGAGGGACCTTCTTAATCAGATTGCTTGAAGAAGACCCACTCCAAATGTGAGTGGCACCTTTGGTGGCAGCCCAGATAAAAGATCATGGAAGAAGGAAACTACATTTTGCCTGTTTACCTTCACTCTCGCTGGTGGGTTCACCTATTCTGTTGCTGAAATTCCTTTGCTGACATTAATGCCAGCTTCTTTGGGCTTCCAATGTAGACTGAAGACCAGCAGCTCTCCAAGAATCCTCCAGGTCTTCAAATTGGAATTGCTGAGACATTCAGCCTCATGGAATGAGCAACTATCAGATCCTCAGCCTCTCCAGTAGCCACTGTTGAATTACCCAGACTGCATCACCTAAGCCAATGTAATAAGTTCCCTTTCAGTATAGATAAATAGATGATAGATAGATAGATAGATAGATAGATAGATAGATAGATAGATAGAAAGATAGATAGATA